AGAAGTATGAACCGATTCTCGCTCATCTCAAGCGAATGTTGGTGTCGTACATTCATGAGGTTGCTAAGTTGGCTCAAGAAATCGCTGCTGCTTTAAGGCGAAAGCCAACTGTCAATCCTATTGGTAAAGCTAGCGATGTCAACAAAATGCGAATGGGTAAGATAGACACGAGTATCTTACGGTGATGTTCACTCGTGGAGAGAACCAAAAATGCCTGTTCATTTTGCCCGATAAATACCTGTTCTCCACAACTTGTTTGGAGCATATCTTGGACATCATCCAAAGGTGTAAACACAACGACGCTGCTGCTAAGAAGAATTTCAATGACATGCTTTGGTGGTACATTAACTTTCGTCACACTATTCTTGCTATCATACCGAAGCTGTTCAAAACTGTAAAGAAGACCACGCAGACACAGCAGTAGAGATCTCTCGCCTCAATTGACGCAAAGGGGGAGAATGTTGGGTTTATGAGATTGCGTCATTGGGCTTTTTGATTTAGTCCATTGTATACATGGCCTGGGCCTGTCCAGCCATTGTTTATCATTAATTAGGGTTATTGTATATATAGTGCATGCATGCACCGTAATTTAAGTTATCGTTCTAAGCTAAGTATTGTAACCCTAGCGCACCTCTACAGTAGCAATTCTTCATAGAGTTCTTCTGAGGTTGTGGCTTTTTAATCATTCTACATCAGTTTGATTCATCTTGTGTTCTTATTTACTTTGTGTTCGTGGTTTTCTTGCTTAGAATCTAATCGATCTAAAGGCTTTTTAGTCTTATCAGTTTCGTAACATCAAAACAATTTTATCGATTCCTTAGTGACCCGCCATACCCCCTTCATGGATTTCTTTAATTAGAAATATCCATAAACTGTGTCATGGAATGCATAGTTGTTGTTGTCGGAAAAGAAATCCATTACAGAGATGATAGACACCAACAACATGTGTTTGACATGTGGAAAACACGTCTCCAAAATTTGGGTAAGTTGGATATTCAACATTCAAAAATTCAAAACCAAGGATCCTAGGGTGCAGTGAATTAAGCAAGGAATACTTCCATGATAAGGCGTCAACACCTTTGTTCAATTTTCCAGATTTATGCTTGATGGTGAAAGTGAAAATCTACAAAAACTCAACCCATTTAGCTTGTCGAGGTTGAAGTTTATGTTGACCTTGGATATATTTGAGAGCTTCGTGATCAGAATGTAATATGAACTCCTTTGAGATCAAATAATGCTGCCAATGATCTAACACTCGAATGAGTGCATAAAATCTTTATCGTATGTGGAATAACGACATTTTGCATCATTTAATTTTTCACTATAACAAGCAATTGAGCGTCCCATCTGTGATAAAACAACTCCAATACCCACCCCTGACGCGTCACATTCAACCTCAAACACCTATTCAAAACAAGGTAGTGCTAGAACCGAGGTCGAGGATAACTACCATTTGATCTCGTCAAAAGCGAATTGAGCTTGAGGGTTCCAAAGAAACTGTTTGTGCTTTGTGAGTTCAGTCATAGGAGCCACAATGGTGCTGAAATTTTTAACAAAATGCTGGTAAAAAGATGCAAGCCCGTGGAAGCTTCGAACCTGCTGAATCGATTGGGGAACCGACATATCACAAATTACTTGTACTTTTTTATCATCAACTTGTATTCCCTGAGCAGATACTAAGTAACCAAGAAAACTAAATTGGGGAACAAAGAAATTCACATTTCTCCAAGTTCCCATAAAGCTTTTCTCGATCAAGCATGTCAAATAACTGGAGATGTTGTTGATGATCACTTGGTGTAAAGATATAAATGAGTATGTCGTCAAAATAAACAACCATGGATCTACCCAGAAAAGGTTTTACTACCTGATTCATTAAGCGCATGAAGGTAACTATGCGTATTTGAAAGCCCGAAGGGCATGACGAGCTGCTCGTATAACCCTTCTTTAGTCTTGAAAGCTGTTTTCCACTCATCTACCTCGTGTATATAAATCTGATGATAACCACTCCGCAGATCGACTTTAGAAAACACGGTTGCACCATAAAGTTCATCGAGTAAATCATTCAGACGGGGAATAAGAAAACGGTATTTGATAGTGATCTTATTGATTGATCGACTGTCCATAAACATCCCCCATTCTCCATTTTTTTGGTACATGTAGTGTGGGAACTGCACAGGGGCTGAGTGACTCTCGAATGAGTCCTTTCTGCAATAAACCATCAATATGTTTCCTGATTTCAGTTGTTTCCTTCCTGAGGGTTAGCTCGATAAGCAGGCTTATTGGGGAGCGTAGAACTTGAAAGAAAATCAATTTTGTGTTGAATGGTACGCATAGGAGGTAGTCCAAAAGGTATTTCAATTGGAAAAACATGTTGATACGACTTTAATAGGGGATGAATAAGAGGGTGGTTGTGGGTTGGTATTGGTTTATCTTCTTCATCATCACAACCGAGCAAGATAAACTCTTGAAAAGATTGGTACTCATGTTGCTCAACTTTGAGCAAAGTACTCAAAGGTGGTGGTGACTTCACTAGTTGAACAGATTTGGATAGCGGGGTGAGGACTATCTTTCGATCGTTGTAGGTGAATGAGTAAGTGTTCCGATAACCGTCGTGTGTCACGCGACGGTCAAACTGCCAAGGACGACCAAGAAGTACATGACAAGCGTCCATAGGGAGGATATCACACGAGATCTCATCGGAATAGGACTTACCAATACTTAAAGACAAGAGAACTCTGTAAGAAACGTGAATACCCTTTCCTTGATTCAACTAGTGAATCACATAAGGTGCAGAATGTGACACAGTGGGTAAGTTTAACTTGTCGACCAGAGTTTGTGAGGCCACATTTGTACAACTGCCACCATCAACAATCATGGTACAAACCTTTTGCGCAATAGTACAACGAGTATGAAAAATCGATTCACGTTGTAGAGTTTCCTCGGAATTCAACGTACTCTGTAAGGCTCGTCGGACCACCAAGCAATCTCCTTCTTTAGGACCCATTGTCTCTTCCTCTTCGCTATCAGTTAGTAATTGTTCTTTGGTGGAGTCGACACCGAACTCATAACCACTAGCGAGTTCAAAGTCGGCAAGGGTGATGATTCGTTTGTTTGGACACTCGGATGCAATGTGTCCTATCCCTTGGCATCGAATACATCTTCTTGGAGCTTTTGTGGAATCAACGTTCAGACTGGTCGTAATGGGTGATTTGGGTTTTAAAGGGGCGAAAGGCTTACTTGTGGAATTGGGCTTTTGATAGGAGTTGGACGTAAAATTGGATCGAGTGAACTCCAATTTTCCTTTAGTTCGTTGCTGGGAGTCAACCTTGTGGGCCAACAAGGTAAGTTCAGCTTGGGTTTGATAAGGATATAATTCCACCACATGTGCGACTCGTGAATCTAGTCCGCCCAACTAGCGGACAAGAGTTTGGGGATCATCTTTAGGGATATCGTATTTCATTAGAAGATACTCAAATTCTCGGGAGTAATCTTCAGCCGTACCTGTTCCCTGTTTCAATGTTTCAAAGAGTGCAATTGGGAGAAGCTAGACTGAATATAATAAGACGGGAGGAACTTCTGTTTTAGTTTTTCTTTCATCTTTGACCATGTTCGGATCTTTTCCTTCCCCCTTCGTTCACGTTTCAAGCAAACATTAGACCACCATGTCACAGCATACTTACATAATTTGAGAGCAACAATTTTAACCTTGTTGTCCTCATTGATCTGTTTGTAATCAAATACCAGTTCTACAGTTCGGAGCCACTCCAAAAACTCATCTAGATCTAGCTTTCAATCGTATTCAGGTATGTCAACCTTAATGTCATTTGTACGCCAACCGTCGTTTCCTTCTTTGTTAACCAACTCACCGGAATTGGAGCTATCACCACTCTGCCGCCGGTTATTAGAAAGAACTAAGTCTTGAATCTGTTCTTGCATCGCCTTCATCTGTTGCTCCATATCCTTCTTGTCAGCTTCCATAAGCTCCAAAATCCTCTTCAATTCGGTACTACGTCGGGTATCCATGATGCTCTGATACCAAATGATAGGCTGACAGTTACATATTCGAAATTACCGTATTAAACAAACAACAGATCCTTCGAGATACGGTTACACCACTTGAAAAACCTCGTTGGGCAAAACACCAACCTGAATCTACGATACAGATACACCACGTAGCTTCAAAATTAGCTTGCAAAGATCACCTCTTAACCCTGCCAGAAATTAAGATAGCAATGGAAAATTCTCTAAAAAAAACTAGAGAATTGAGAACTTTAATCAAATCCCAAAAACTGTCCATTTCTTTTGCAAATGTAGGTACAAAACAGCAAATCGGTAAGATGCAACATTCATGGAGCGATAAAAACCAACTGCTTTTAGAAAATCAAACATAAAGTAAAATGCAAAATAACACAAAAACTGGACTGAATAAAAACAAAGTCAGTCAGGTATTGGACTGGTTAGTTTGGACCAAACTGAGCCAAGTTGTATCATGTTGGGCCTGATCAATCTGAATTGGATCAGGTTGCTGGGTCGGATTGAGTGTGGGTCTAACAGTAAGTAGTTTTAAATAAGCAAACCCAAACACCCCTAAATTTAATGGAAGATGTCACGGATATTATTCTATCTGAATAGCTATTATGCAGCATATGAATCCCCATTAAAAATTATGCAAACATATTCAACTTTTAGATTAGAATATGTAAACCCTTTGATGGGCTTGGAATATGTAATGTCGTTACAGTTAGCTTGTATCTTTGAAAGACAAGACATTGTTTGAAACTGAAACTGAAACTGAAAGTTAACGAACTATATGTCATTTTCCCTTAATGGGTCAAGCACAATTTTTTGTTTCACATCGACCATATCTAAGTAGTATATTCTTCCAGAAAGTATATCACTGCATTAGGTGAAGCACATAGACTTTCAGACAGCTTCTTCTTCACTTTTTTCTTCTCTACTTTTTTTTTCTTCTTCACTGTTTTTTTCTTTTGGAAAGTATATCACTGCATTAGATGAAGCACATGGACCTTCAGACAGCAGCTTTCTCACATTTTCTTCCTTTTTTTTCATGATTGGATATATAGTTTTTATTATAACTACCTTGAGGTTTGGCGACCTTATCATTATAAACTTGATTAAATCAACACCTTTCCCAAAGCAGTCAAACCGTTGAATTTCCACTGAACGAAGTTTATTCAGATAAACCATCTTCCGAGGGTGACATGACAGGTCAACGACGCCCACTGGCATATCTTTTAATTGGCAAAACTCCTGTTAACTCAAAAAAAAAAACTTTATAAGTATAGCAAATAACTCACATAGGATAGATCACATAGTATCAATTATATAATACCTACCATAATCTCAAGTTTCTCCAATTCGAGTGAGTTTGTCACCAAATACTGAATCCCTCGAAGATCCAGATTTAATGTAAAACACACACCAGTTAAACGTAAAGATTTAAGTTTGTTAAATGAACTGTGTTGCACCCTTAGACCACCACATGCACTAAGAAGCCGAAATGGACAAGAACCCAACTGAAGGTGTTTGATGTTCGGAATAGAAGCAGCGAGCTCCTCAAATCCAAAAGTGGAAGGTTCATGTAGGTCTCCATCATGTGTCATCTGCATCAAAAAAACTAATTAGACTAAAAAAGTAGTCATGAAACATCTAATTTGAATTTCTAGAAAGAAAAATTAAGCATTTCTGTGTCATACTTTTTAATGTTAATTTAAGATTCATAATTATTCTATCTTTTGATACTTACACATTTTTCATGAATTAATATAATAATTTATATTAGAAGCAGTGGGAGGAATTAACAAAATCAGGGTCATATAAATTGAGTTTTACCAGAATTAGGCTAGTCAGTCGCTTGCAATTTTTGAGGAAAGATATAAGACCATTGAAACTGATACGAACTCTGAACAAGTTCAAGCTTGTCAGATTTTCAAACCCGCAAAAATCATCATCAGGCTTCAAGACACAACTGAACAGCTCTACATGTGTCAAATGTTTGAGTTGAAAAAATGTTGATGGCACCTTGTAGGGGTCTCCAAGCGATACTCGGAGAGTAAACTTACGAAGGCACATCTGCTTCAAAGAGAGATACCGCATGATTATATCAAGCTCCGGACTGCCCTTCAAATCTGGAAACCCAATGTAAAACTCCTCTAATGCCGAACATTGACACATGAGTACTGGGTAAACAATTTGTGTTAATTTGGACTCACAGCTAGAATGATTTCCTACAAAAGCATGCCGATCAAAAATAAGTTTCCCCAAGTTGAAGTGGCTTTTGCTCCTCCACAGACGTGACAATCCACTTGCTTTAATAGCATCACACAAAGGCAGTGCCTTTACTATTCCATCCCGAGCTTATTCAGGCAGTAAACTAAAATCCCGAGTAGAAGAATCTGGAAATGAATACCAATGGTTGTGAGGAGATCAGTAAGAATAATCCCTGAATTTAAGAATAAGATCAAGGCAAAAAGAAGACAGATACTCATAATTAACTACAGGGGACAATGTAGTTAACTGTTTATGAAGTCTTTAACATTCTAATCAGTATTAGCTTTTAGAATATGCAAATAGATGTTCAGATGTTTAAGACACTTTCTTTGTTAAGAAAAAAATGTATTCTAGCTGACATTTACAACAAACATATAATATAGTTTATTTTTAGATAACCAGTGGTATGATGGATATATTGATTATTAACTGTCTGATGTTATTTAACCAGCAGCATATCTAAAAAACAAATAAACACCCTAAGGTATACAAACATTAATATTAAATCACCAGAACAGTTTTTTGTCATATGACATCCACTTGAAACCATAAACAATGAACAACTGTAAAAGTCACAGGGAAAAGAACAAAAAAAGAAAAAAGTATTCGGGTTGACAACCACACCACTTCAAACAACAAACAATAATAAGTAATGCAATGAGCAATCGTAAACAATGACAAAGAAAAATAAACAAGCAAGGATGAGAATGTGATGATATGGGTCACTAATATGGAGCTTATTTCCACATACTAATCCCTAACTCTGTTTTTTACTCTTATGCATAAAGTTCCTCCAGAAGTAATATGTAGTGTATGCTTGACTTTCTCATCAGATACACTCATCATCAATTGCTCTTTTGTTGGCTAATAACATATGTTTTTGGATTTCTGAGAGTATGTGGGCATGTTAGACTTGTTTCATGTCTTTAGTATGGGTTTTGGTTCTGTTAAAGAGTTTTCTACTTATTTTATAGACACCAGACAGATTGGTAAAATGTGTATCTACATTTGATGACACCTTATTAGTATAGCACAATCTTCATTGTCTGTTTGATGAGATGCTCAAATGAAACTTAATTTACCATTTACCGATTTATGTTATTTTCAGATGAAACCTCAAATGTTCCTTTAAATGCAAAGATTTCCTATAAGATATCAACTAGCCACATGAATTTTTCCTTGTTAATGTAAAAAGGAAACTAGAGGATACACAACTAAATTGATCATATGTCCATTCTTTTGCATAAACTAACTAGGAACTAGATGTATTCAAGAAGGCATACAGTTCAACTGATATACAAACAACATTAGTTGAAATGGTTGAAGACCTTGCAGACGTAGTAATCATCAATGCCAATACGAAATAGACAAAGAGAAAAGCAATGCATCAAATATCCAACAACAAAAATTCGAGCAAACCTCTGATCGAACTAACCCTAATCTGAATGCAAGAGTGATTTGAGCGAGAAAGATAGTTTCGCCATACCTGATTTAGCGGAGGGAGGAACCGCGGAAGTAGCGGAGGGAGGAATCGCGGAAGTAGCGGAGGAAGAAGACGTGGAAGTAGCGGAGGATACCGACATAATGGCAGCGTCGGCGGAGGAAATCGACGGAGGAGGAAATTGATTATCGAACCTATTAACACCTGTAGCAGTTTATCGAAAAGTGAGATCAGATCAAAGCCTAGAAATAGATTAGGGTAGGAAATTACCACGAAGAATGAAGAGTTTGAGAGAGAGAGAGAGAGGGAGTGTAAAATCGGTGAGAATGAAGAGTTTGAGAGAGAGAGAGAGAGAGAGTGTGTAAAATCGGTGAGAATGAAGAGTTTAATCAGAGCAGACGATGACGACTTAAAAGAGACAAAAAGAGGACTTAAGGGAGAAAAATGTTTTTACTAATTGACATGTTGAAAAGACTTGACTTGACGTGAATTCTTTTCTTATACATTTTTTTAACAGCAATATAGATTTTTCTTTTCTTCTTTTTGACATTTTTTTGACAAAACTGAAAAAATAATGCATTTCTTTCGGATTTTGGTTTAAATCTTAACAAAACTGCAAAATTGGTATTTGTGGTATTAAAAAACTGTAGATAGGATTTAAAATGTTTTTGATTTGCATAGAAAGTCCAAAATTAAGATTTTTCTGTCATTTTGGTCATAAAATTAAGAAATTTTTGTAGTTTTGGTCCATGAAGCATTTGAATTGACGGTTTTATCCTTTAAATTTCTTTTTTTTATTTTTTTTTACATTTTCTTTTTTGTAAATATTAATGAAAAAAAAGGAATTATGCTGGCCCACCCGATAACTCCATCATCTCTCTTTCTCTCTCTCTCAACACCAACCATTTCATCTTCTCCGATAAACTCTCCAGTTGTTTGCTTCACCCAAATATAAATTTACAAAATAAAATTGATCTGGATTTACAAGAAATCAATAAAACTTAGATTTACAAAAAAAAAAAATGCATATATGTTCCATCTTCAAAGTCGAGTTCATCCACACCCAATATCTAAACAAACCTTCATCCTCACCCCTCGTCTCCCTCTTCTTCGGTCACCTATCTCATCTTCTGCGATTTCCATCAAGGAACACACCAAATTTTTAGGTTCTGGTTTTATTTTTTTGTATTTGACTCAGAAAATCCAACTGCACTAATTGATTGAATGGAAATGTTCTTTTGTTCATGTTTTCCAGTACCTATAACTGGTCTTTCTTTCTTTTAAAAGAAACTTATCTGCTCTAATCTCCTTACTTCCATTAAACACATAAACCTTAGGGATTTTCCTACAAAAATCAATATTTCGCATTTTCAAGCTCTTTGCAAACCCTAGCCATGCCACTCACGATTCTTTGTGTAACATCCCAAAATTCAAAGCAAAAAATTTCATTTTTAAATAAATTATTACATAAAACCATTAGTATAAAACATTCATAATAATGTCTCATGTCAAAACGAAAGTGTTAATAATCAAAATATAATATCATGAAACCATATCAGAGTGTAATCCCAAGGATCTCGTGTGCGGAAAACATAGTGTGATGTGCTGCGACCAAGCCGGCTCCTTTCCTTTGAAACAAAGTACCTGAAACCAAAATTGTAAACCGTAAGCACGAAGCTTAGTGAGTTCCCCCATCATACCACATACCATACAATCACATGGCCTACATACTGTCGGGCAATTCTGGGGTGCCCGACCTACCCAAGTCAAGCCATTCTGGGGTGCTGACGTACCCATGTCAAGCCATTCTAGGGTGCTGACGTACCCATGTCAAGCCATTCTGGGTGCTAACGTACCCATCGGTCCTGACAACCGAACTTTGGGGACTATTTTACCCCCTTACTACTACCACATAATATCATATCACATATCATAATCTGCCTAGCATAGCTGGGTAATAACTACCTCTCCGGCCCTATCGACCGGTAACCGGGGACTATTCCCCCTACTACCACTATCACATAACATCATGTCATAATAACACATAAAACATATCAGGTAGTAGCAACCTAGATGATTATCACAAAGACAATCATCTATCATACAGCTCCTACTAGTGGGCCGACATTGTGGCCTTAGACCCACTTCTACTGGAAGGTAACTCACCTCGCACTGCTGAAGTCCCGCAGACTCAACCCCAGCTGATGGATGACAAATTCCCGAACTGTCAATCACCAAAATAACACCCAATTAATAATTGGGTCCCACTTCATAACCATAAGTACATTCTTTGGGTAATTACTACATTACCCCTAGCTTAGCTTATTCAAGCCCAGGGCCCAAACCATAGGCCCAAAGTCAACTAGGAATCAAAGCCCAATATATGGCCCAATTTTCTAAATTGGGCCTAAGCCTATACATGATCTTCTTCTAAGTCCCAACATCATGTAATCATTAAGGCCCAAACTGTGGCCCATCTATGGCCAAATTTTCCAAATTGGGCCCAAACCCCTTACATGGGCCTTACCCTAGGCCCATTAAATTATTCTAAACCATTTGCTTGATCTTGAATAGCCCATTTAATAATCCAATTACCAAGGCCCAACATAAAGCCCAAATGAAACTAGGGTTTCACATAAAATGACGATTAGGGTTAAGTTTCCTACTTAACCCATTAAGGACTTAATCCTCTAAGGACTTAATCCATTAAGTCCACTATCGCTTAGATTAATCTTGCCAATGATTATTATTTATTATTCCAAGTTATTAATAATTCCCGTGTGTTCCGATAAATTCCCCAAAATTAGGGTTTTTATGGCATTAGGGTTTTCCAAACCCTAATTAGGGTTTCCAACCCAAATACTAGCCCATATATTAATTTGTTGGGCTTTTAGGTCATTTAGGGCTTTATTGGGCCTATTAAGCCCACTAGAATGCCACTAAGCCCATTAGGCTTCATTGAGCCCATTAGGGTTTGCAAGGCCCATTAGGGTTTGAAATCATCCCAAACGAATCAAACTCACAAGGCAAGCACACCGCCACCCGACACGGCGGCCAGTGGCGGCAGCCACCACCTCATGGTGGTGGTTAGGGTTTCTTTCCATTATTCACATTTCTAATTACATTTTACAATAATAATCTCTAAAATAACACACACACAACTAGGCTAAACACACACACACAACCACCTATGGTGGCCGGCGGTAGCAAGTGGCGGCAGCCACCACCCTATGGTGGTGGTGATGCCTTTTCGAGAAATCCAGCCAACACCCACACACATCATCACACCTTCAGCTTGGAGAGGGAAGCCAACCACCCATTTGGTGGCGTATGGCGGCGACAGTGGTGATTTCACGTTAGCAGCCACCACCTCGTGGTGGTGGCGGTGGCTCCTTTGGGTTCCCAGTCGAACAGCCTCCCCCACACCCGAATCTTGAAGCAGAAACACACCCATATGAACTCACGAAAAGTTGAAGCAACGATTCACGGTGGTGGTGGCGGGTTATCTTGCTTCCCTGTCCAAAACACGCACACACTCCACTATTAGCTCCGCAACAACCTATAACGGTGAACACACACACATTCAGCCACCTACAAGGTGGCAGAACACCGCTGGAACGCCACTGAATGGCAACCAACGGCGGTTATGGCCTCAAACAGCTAGAAGGGATAAAGGAGGTGAAAGATGGCCTCACCGCGAGCATTCCAATCGCACTCGACTTGCGTCTACCGGTCACAGTTCTGACTTCGTTCTTGGTAGGGTTTCTTCGTCTATTCGCGACTTCACCGGAGCAGCAGAGGAGGTGACGATGGCATTCAATGACAAGGTGGCGGAGGCTAGAGCGGTTGCGTCTGGCAGTCTTGCTCGATCGGAAATGGGAACGAAGTGTGCGGCTGGAGATTTGACGAACGGCAGAAGGGAGATCTGGAGATGGTGGCGTCTGTAAACGAGGCTAGGGTTTCGGGTTGTGTAACGTTATGGAACGGATGGCCTGATTTATCCTGTGTTCATACAAACTCCATGCGAGTTTGACACTTCCAACCCCTCTATCACATGAACTCTTCACAACAGCTCCATAAGTTACATTTTAGCCCCCATCACTCCCAATTCCTTCCAAATCAAGTCTGAACTTTACTTTTTAGCCCTCCGCATTCTAAATTCCTTTCAATTTAGGTCCAAAACTTACCATAGAGCCCCTGTCATCGTAAATTGTGACAATTAGCCCTTCGAGACCATCCCTTGATATATAATTATTTATTTTAGGGCTACCATTCATTCATTATTTTGTTTATTTATTTAATAAATAAACCGGGTGTTACAACTCTCCCTCACTTAAATTAGATTCCGTCCTCGAAATCATACCTTACCATTACTTATACGCTAAACCACTCAGGTAGCATGGTCACCACCCTGGGCACACCCTAGGCTTCCCAGGGTAGCCGTGACCAATCCTCGCAAAGCCCTAAAATTCGCAGATGAACCAATTCCTCACAATCATCCATATCTACTTGGTCTGAAACCTGCTGTATCGAGATGGTCTGAATCCTTGACAGAACATTCATGCTAAATCGTTATCGTTGGATCTAATCTGTTTAACCCTCAACTGACTACACACTTCTGATAACCTGTGGTTCCCACCATAAACCTGGGTCACAAACCCAATTACCTCTGCAGATCACTTATACTCAGCTAAGGCTCAGATGCTCATGCTGTGAGTGACTTGTCACTCCTCAAATCATCTAGCTATTCCGCCCGTACTCGCAACCTAAAGCGCAAATGCTAACACTGCCCAAACGCTGAAACTGCTCGAACACTGAACTGCCTGAAGCAGTATGCTACTACATAGATGCTTCCCAAAATCCATCGAGACTTCTCTGGTCTCAATTCATCTGTCAGTCGTCTGAGATACCAGGTTCCAGCCCGGTCGCTGAGCAAAAAGGGCTCCCACATAGTCGTCTCACACGACTCTTGAACGAAATTCCTTCTCTGGAACTAGTTGCCACTAGTTATCATACCACTGTGGCTCTAACAACCTCCTGATCTAACCGATCGGGTCCATGCGTCAAATCCTGAAGTCACCAAATCCAAGACTAAAAGTGATTGCTACCTAACTGATGGTAGCCTTATATCACAAGCAATCTTATACAGTCCATTGCTTCCTTGATCTCCTAACTGTAGTGACATTCCTACAGTCTTATCACTGGCTCAACCTGACCTAATCCATCCAGAAAATTCCAAAATCCAATATGTGGATTTCCATATCCTCAATGTTGCACCCGAACTGGTGGGTATTATTGTCCTTTTCATGATCTATGAACATGCTCATGCTATCTACCAATCTAGTGGATTCTACGGCTACACCCGCAGTTTTACAACACTCTATCACTATCTACCCATCTGATGAATGTTGCGGCTACACCTGCAGGCTTACAACATCCTAAAACTATCTGCTCATCTGGTGAATGCTACGGCTACACCCGCAAACTTACAACACCCTAAACTATTTGCCGATCTGGTGAATGCTACGGCTACACCCGCAGACTTACAACACCCTAACACTATCTGCCCATCTGGTGAATGCTACGGCTACACTCGCAGGCTTACAACATCCTCCAACCCGGTCGAACACACACTCGACCTAACACGCACTGAACTTGAGTTCTAACTGGAGCTCTAAACTGATTCCCAAAACCTGCTATCTGATGCCAAGGAAAAACATGAACCAAACGTTGGAACGTTTTCTAAACTTCCAGCTCACCCAATCCTCTAGATAGAGGAAGAAAGAAGGGAAGGGTACCGATGAAGGGTGTGGGGTAGGGTATTTTTCTTTCTTTTTTATTATTTTTTAAAAAAACTATTAAAATAGAAAAGAATTAAAGAAAATGTAAAAATAAATAATAAGGGCAAAATAGTCCTTGCAACTTTTTTAGGACCAAAATCCCAGAAAAACCTTGATTTTGGACCTTCCATGCAAGCCGGAAACTTTTTGGACCCTATCCACGGTTTTTTGAATACCATAAGGACCAATTTTATAGTTTTGTCTAACTTTTTTTAATGATGGTCCTTTTGAGCATGTTTGCTTGTGCTTTTGGCCTCTCACACACACACACACACATATTTTGACATTTTTACCCAAAATAGAGAGCACCCATTATTGTTCATGGTATCTTTTATCGATCTCTAGTCTTCAATTTTGTCGGGCTTTCCTCAGTTACATGTAGTTTTGACTTTCTTAGACAAGTTTGATGAGCACCAATTTATGTTTATAGTTCATTAACTGAATCTCGTGGTGGGGTTTTCGTTTTCCCTTGAATTTCCTGTTATTTTAATGTTTCTAGTAAAAACTGAAGACTACATGTTCTTGTTTTTAGCTGATTACTCAATCCCTATGTTTAATTTTGGTAGTATAACCCTTTAATCTATGTTGGTTTAATGATTGATTGATGTTTGTGTTTCATCATGATGCCCAATTTCTATTATCATTCCACTTCTGCACTTGGTGTAAATTAGTCAACCGGTAGATCCTAGTTTTCCTTTGTTATTTGTTTTAATCCATTCCGAATTTGACAAAACACGAAGGAAATTAAAAAAAAAGAGTTTGGTTATTCTTCTTCCTCATCGTGATTTGTTGGATCTTCCTCTTCTTACCTCAAACATGCCTATCAAGTGTTCGATATATTACCAAAGTGAGCCATGGGCCCAAAGGATCTTAAATGCAATTCATAGACTACAATGCTTATTCCTTGTATCAAACAACTCTAATTTTGGGTTTGTTTTCAATTCAAACGCCAATATCACTTCCTTCACCATTGCTATCATTCACATTATAACTTCAAATGAGATTGTTGAGGAGTTGTTGGTTTAATCCAGAGGGTATATTGGGAAACATATGTTTATTTAGTGGTTTGACTCTTTCAAAAGGCCATGTTGGCAATATTTCCTTTTCTTTAGGCGAAATCAGGAAGTGGGTTAGTTCCTGCATTAGTTTAGGAAGCATTTTCCTTTTTATAGATGTAGTCAATTTCCCTTTTGCATAAGAATGAAAAAATCAGAAAAGTTGCCCCAATCCGTTCCTCTTTCAATTCTGCAGTGAAGTGTGCAGATTTCTGTCCCACCTACTCATACCTTTTTCTGTTCTCTATGATTACCCATTGAATAAAGCCCATACCCTTTTGTGAAAAATACAACATTTTGGTATCAGAGCATAACCTGGTGCATGCCCAAATACCAACCCCATACACTCAACATGGGAGACAGAAATGAAAGGAATGAGAAAGACGGACCCATCACGTTGCACTACCCCATGCTCTCAAGAAGCAATTATGTTGCATGGGAAATAAAGATGTGTGTTTTCATGTAGGCTCAAGGCATTTGGAATGCCATTGAACCCCGCACCCCCAATACAGTTGTCGAAGTGAAGAAGGATAAAATGGTGTTGATGACCATTTATTAAGGCATACTGAAAGATTTGTTACTGTCATTGGCAGAGAAGCAAATGTATAAGGATGCATGGATAGCAATTAAGACTATGTTCATGGGAGCAGATAGGGTTAAGACTGCGAGAGTCCAAACCCTAGAGGCGGAGTTCGAACTGTTAAGCATGAAAGAAGCGGAGACGATTGACGAGTTTTCTGTGAAAGTGAACAATGTAGTAAGTAACATAAGAGATTTGGGTAATATTGTAGAATAAGAATATGTGGTAAAGAAATTACTCTGTGCGGTACCATCCAAGTTTGTTCAAATAGCTTCTACTATTGAACAATTCTCTGATTTAGATAACATTTCTGTTAAAGAAGTAATTGGAAGATTGAAGGCTCATGAAGAACGGGTAAAGGGGCACAACGAACACATAGAAAACACAGAAGGAAAACTTCTCTTGACCCATAAAGAGTGGTCTAATAGAACAAAGAAGAAGAGAGATGAAGATCAGAAGTCATCCCAGCGAGACTACTCTAGTCTGGTCGTGGTGGGCGACGTAGTGGTGGCACTCAGAGAAGGAGGACAGGATCATCAAAAAAATACTAACAAAGAGAAAATATAGTGTTAAAACTGTCAAGACTTTGGGCACTAAGCTTTCCAATGTAAAAATCAACGTCGTGAAAGAAATCAAGAGGCCAATTAACACACGTACCAGATGATGATGAACCAGCTTTGTTGCTGTTTGCATACAACTCTAAAAAGGTGTTCCAGGAGGTGTTTCTTAATGAGAAAAGGATCACACCAAAGTTAAGATCAGAAGGGGATGAAGCAAGCAAATCTTAGGTGTGGTACTTAGACAATGGAGCTAGCAATCATATGACAGGAGAAGAAGAAAAGTTTTGTGAAATCGATAAGACCATAAAAGGATATGTCAGGTTTGGGGATGGCTCCAAATTTAAAATAGAAGGCAAGGGTGCAATCTTATTTCTGTGTAAAAATGGTGAACAAAGATTGTTTCAGGAGGTGTATCATATCCCAAGCTTATGCAACAACATAATAAGCTTGGGACAGTTAGCTGAAGGGGGTGATAAGATACTCATGCTTGGAGCATTTTTGTGGATTCATAACAAAACCGGGAGCCTGCTGATGAAAGTCACAAGATCAACAAACCGTTTGTACAAGATAACCTTGAATAAGGTTGAAGGGGAAATGCTTACTCGGTGAATAAAACGAAAGAAGTTGGTTATGGCATAATCGTCTAGGGCATGTGAATTTCACTTCACTTAAACATATGTCAGAGACTAATATGGTTCGTGGGCTGCCATGTAATCGAGCTCCCTTGAGTCCATGCGAAGGATGCTTAGTCAGGAAACAAACATGAACCACACAGCCAATAGAAGCCAACTTTAGAGCAACAAGAAGACTCGAGTTAGTTCACGGAGACTTGTGTGGTCCAATAACACCAGTCACACCATCATGATTTATCTCATGAACACGAAGATGAGACTTTGGATGTGTTCAAGAGAT